GATTTTTGACAAAATGCCCTTTACTCGATGTTGCAGCGCATTCCTTAAAAGACCCGTGAACGGTGAAACATTTTATCTTTGACTTGGCCTGTGATGTCATCGGTGACCCCGAGGTCAATGAAATTGAAGTTCCCTCGACAAATTTAACAAGGCTATCGAACGCCATTTAAATTTTACCGATCCGTCATAGTAGCTTCGGAGATACGGGGGGGGGGGGTCAAAAATCCCCCCTCCCACCGCGCGGAAGGTAGCCGGGAGGCCCACCGCTTGCCGGGTTAAAACTCAGATCTTGAGAGCGATTACCGTTGTTCAATGCTTTGCATCAAAATCGGCCGAACATGATGTCACTCTGGCGTCATTTCCGGCCGATCTATAGTAGCTACGAAAATTTTATTAGTGCACAAGGTGTCAAATAAATTGATGCAGCCGAAGGTCCTAAAAGCTTTGTTTTGATACGTCCAGCGGTTTTAAAGATATTGCGTAAAAACGAGAGGGGCTATGAATAGCCCTCCCCACAGTAGGGTGGGGGTTAACCCTCGCCCGTATTGGTGTTTTTCCAGCCACGAACGTTTAAGGGGGGGTCCGTTGAACCCCCTCCTTGCCGTTTCGCCCCTGATTGAGCTAGAGCTTCGCGGAAAAAACGAGCGTGCTGCCCGTGACGAGAGAAAGCCGATGGTACCCAATTTTATCCTAGGTCGTCGGTCCTAGGTCATCGGTTGACCTTCCAGGTCAGGTCAATGACCCAAAAGTGGGGAAAACTGGGACCTGTTAGAACGTCGTAAAACGTGGCTGCTATTGGGTTTTTTAGGGAACTGATCACGAATATCATGTTAGCTATGATCATAGATGATGTCTTCATGCATTTAGGCCAGGTCGGGTCAGGTCAGGTCAGGTCAACCAGTAAGGGTTTTGCCGGGTATTCGTAGTAGGTGCACTAGGTGGCAACCGCCTCTGACAGCTTCGTAACATGTTACGAAGGCACCAAAACTACTTCGTAAATGTTCATATATGGTTGTTAAATTCGAAATCAGCTAAAAAAACTAGCCTAGAAAGATGCTGATAAAACTCGAAAAAGTAAACCGAGGTCATCAAAGGTCAATGAACTGACCTGACCTTCTGGTGACCTTGACATCCATCCTAATGCATGGGAGCAGCATCATATCCCATGTTTGAACGCTTGAAACCACGAAAGGACTGCAAACGCGCGGCAAATGCGAGCCGACATACGCCGAATCGCGATTCCGGCCAAACATGGTCTCGAAAAGTAGGTCACAGGTCAAAGGTCATTAGTCAGGGCCATTACATTTTTTAGGGTAGGTGTAAAATTGATTATAACTCGAGGGTACTGAAAGCTTCGTTGCGGTCGGCCGCTTTTTACGCGAGGTATTCGCGAAAAACCGAGGGGGAGTCCGTTCGACCCCCCCCCCTATACGGGGGAGGGTTAACAAGCCAAAACGTTGCTAATTTTTATTTTGATCTGACCTGTGACGTCAACGGTGATCTCGAGGTCAATAAAATTAGGTTTTGCTCGACAGTTTTTCCAGGGCTATCAGACGCCGTTTCAGTTTTGACAATCGGCCCAGTAGTTTCGGAGTTGGAGCGGGGGGGGGGTTCTATAAATAGCCCCCGCCTCCCCCAGTGGAGTGCGTTACAGAACATACCCCAGTGGGGCGCTGGTTAAGAGTAGAATTTTTGAATTATTGCCAACACTCAACACTGCACCTCATGGCAATTAATTCATTATAGGGCATTTTACCTGAACCAGCCTCTGGCCTAATGTCCCAAATTTGCTAAATTCCTCACCCTACAAATCCCCTGTTCTATTAGATGCTGCCATTTTTTTTAAAACAACTTATCTTAAATCCTTGTTTCATCAAACTGGGAGCTAGGTCACGGGACACTGCGAGTCAAGGTGGGAGGGGTAGGAGATAGAGTGTCACTGCAGCACACACAATCAATCTTTCCATTGGTTTATCTTATATCAATGCCTGCTCTTTTCCAGAGCTGGCTTTCGAAGTTCGAACCTTCGGTATATGGCTACCAATGCCCTTGGAGAAGGTGTTGCGTGATAAATCGCTGGAAGGGCGACATTCAACGATTGTGTGAAAAGAGACCGATTGCATTGTGATGATAAAGTGAACTGTAATAATTGTTGTTCATGCGCGTTGTTTGGTTATGTGCAGACGTAACTTTGTTTGTGGCCAAATGCTTTTTATGTGTGAAATATTTCATGTAGGTTACTAGGTAGATGCTTTGGAAAAGTGAAGAGCTGCTTTGTCGACTGCTAGGTAGATAGTAACCGTGTTTACATAGGGTTCCCTTAATCTTCCCCTATTTGTCTCTTAAATGTCCCTTATAAAGGAATCCTCTGTCTCCTTTACCTCGCTTAACTACAAATATGGCGCAACTTAGTCATTCTAGAAGCAGTTTGCAATTGTTACTTACCTTTAGGGCTCTCCCAAATAGCTTCCAGACTAGACACTGAGGTAAAAGTGATAGCACATGAAAGCTCAATGCAAGAAAAATCCGAAAACTATCTGGCATTTAACATACTTTAAACGGCTGAGCTATAATTCAAGTAGGTATAATCACATCCTCGGCAATATCAGAACACCGCACCTGTCGAATTTCCGCCTTGACTTTCTGCCGTTTATGCGTTAATGCCACTTAAAAATCCTCAGTCGGCGCACGTGCGCTTGTCGAGTCGGGGACCACCAGTCGGACGATTCGGAACTGCCGGCCAATCAGCAAGCCGCTTTTGTGATGTGATAGTTTGAGAACCACTGGATATGGTAGCGTAGCAGCTTTTGGAAAGGCGCTACGCTACCAAATCCTCCCCTATTTGTCGCTTAAAGAGGGAATTGAAGGGCAGGATAAAATTACTTCAAAATATGAATTGTTGAATTTCGAGTATTAAATAAGCCCAATGTATATTGTTTACAGCATAAACGATGCTTAGTATGCTTCTAACAACAATAGCGTCCATAGCAACGTTACACGCGAGCGCTATGATGCCTAAAATCCGATCTGAAAATAAGGGAGAAATAGGGGAAGATTAAGGGAACCCTATGTAAACACGACTACTGTCATGCATGCTGTTGTGCATCAGTAAGTGGCTGTCGTAATGATAAACAAATTTGGCATGGATAGGCTAAAGCACAGCATATGAAGCATGCTGGTTGATGACTAGTAAGATCCTGTTAACCGACTGGTAATATCACAATAAATGTCACGTAGTAAACTATTGTTTTACGATGGTTGGCCAGCAAAGCAAAGCTGGTATCCAGATGACAAAAGGATGGTTTTACCATGATAAGTCATTAGTAAGCATTACCAGGGAGTAGCTAACGATAGTAAAGTCCTAGTTTCGTGCTAGTATCACGTGGGTTTTTGGGCATGGTATGACGACATATAGTTACCGTGTTAATACCATGGTAATTTTTACTGGCATTGGTATTCACATGGTTTTACATTCATATTAGGCCTAGTATTTGGGTCGTAAGTTAGTTTACCATAGGTAAGAGGCTGTTCAAAATATGACCACCACTCGAAAACTAACTAGGGTGGTATTTTTCTTAGTAGGCGGTACCAGGATAATACTAGCGTTAGTAGAGCTTTGGTTTCTTATTAGTTATGCTTTAGTTTCAAGGTAGTATGATGAAAAAATATTACCGTACTAAGACCATGGTATTTTGATGAGCATTGGTAGTTGCATAGTATTCCTTTGATATTGGGCCTAGTATTTGGATCGTAAACTGGTTTACCATAAGTAAAAGGCTGTTCAAAATATGACCACCACCCAAAAACTAACTAGGGTGGTATTTTTTTCTTTCAGTGTTGTGGCTGAGTGGAAGCGTCTCGAGGTGAGAGCCGATTTTATGTTTTTTTAATGTCATTCTAAAAAAATAAGTTGCAAGAAAATGTGTGTTTTGGGCATTTAGATGTGCACGAATTTGAAAGATCTCCGTAGCGGTATTGAGGGTAGGTTCTAAGGCTGCGCTAGTGAAAACGGATTTCTCCAGCTGTCCGCTGTTTTTTTTAGCACGAGGATGTTTTTTCCAAGATGGCGGCTAGGTACATGTTGTATCAGAGCCGGGTGGGGTATGTTGTAAGATGTATGTGTGTATGTATGCATGGGTACCTATGTTGCTTTTGATCGCGAAAGCTAAGCCCTGGCTCGCGTTTGTAGGTAGCTAGTCAATGCTCGTTCCATTTCGGCACAATGTGTTGGCTTCTTTGCTCTTAACGGGCCACTTTTGCGTCTAGTCTGTTGATGTTTCGTTCGGATTGCATTGACCTAACTTTGGTCTAATAAAGTGAAGCCTTTGAGCATACCTATACATTGTATTAACCCCATTTAATGTCGTTGTTATGTTCAAAACCAGAAGCAAGCACACTTCCTGAAACGTGAAATAGTGATACAAATTACCCCACCATGTGATACAACTCACCCAAGCCATGGGGCAAGTTGTATCAAAAACATTGTTCTATTCGGCAGACCATAGAAGAAAAACTGGTAGAGGTAGCGGAAAAGTTACTTTGCACAAAAAAGCAGAAGAATCAAGGAAGGGGATAGTATGGAAATAATGAGTTTATCACGGATACTTACGAGGTTATGGGTCTCGGAGTAAAAACTGATACAACCCACCCCACTCTCCCCTACATCACGCTGCCGCGCTGGCGGGAAAAAAGTTCCCACGCATTCATAATACATAGGAACATGGTGATCATCTGGGTCAACTGGCGAGCTTATAATTGGGAAGTTTATAAAAAACACGTTTACATGAATGTTTGAAGCCCCGTTTCTCGATAATCCACCCTTAAAAGGCACAGATGTCAAATGTGACATTTTAACTACACCACGCTTACGCATAGCCACTGTGACGTCACCGTGGCGGTCAAATTTTCCTACTGAACTACCCTGTTAGTAAAAGAATCTCGAGTTCAATCACACATAACATTAGACAAGGCTTTTAAATACCGAATAAAGCAACACTTACGGCAGCTTCGCTGTACATATCCAGGAATATCTCCTTCATCTCCTCGCCAGTCTTCCGGTTTCGGTTGCTCGTGAGGCATATCCGCCGAGCCTCGAAGGATTCTTTGAGAACAGATGTCTTGTGAGTGACATCGGCGTGCTTTAGCTTGGCACTGAACTTGGCGGTTTCGGTGCAGATGTCTAGCTTCGACTTCTTCGTTTTGGGAAACATCCCCGGCATCCCCTCTTCAGCTGCCGCACGCTTTTTCACAACGATGCCCCTGGCTCGTCTTTCCGTGTCGATGACGGCGTTGCTCAGTGGCTTTCGACAGTTCTTGAATCTGTTCCGAAGTTTCTGTCGGAAGCTGTTCTTCCGCAGAGTCACCTTTGAGAAAGAAAAGAACCGTTTTTTTTCATGGACAGCTTTATCAGGCAGTGAACACTGAACAAGATATAAATACGTTCATTAAACGTGTTTTCTTCTATCGTGATATTGGGAGGATAGAAACAACAAAAAGTAGATGTCCGGATATGACCGTTTTAATACGATAGGCAATGGGCACTGGACGACTATGGGTAACATCGACCACAAGACAGGAAACATCAACGTGACACAGGAGGAAGCTCGGAGGACCCAATACCATGGGTGACAATTTGTCTTCCAATTTGGCCATGGGTGACAATTTGTCTTCCAGAATTTCATCATCGCGGAAATCTTCGTCCGCAAATCTACGTCAACGCATTTCTTGGATTGTATGGTCATACTACGGATTACAGTAAAGTCATACTAACAAAACACAAAGTATACAGTAATTTCAGCTTACCTTCGAGGACTGGGACGCTTGCTCGGTTCTCTGACAGAAGGCCTTGGTTCTGACGACTTGAGCACAATGGCGGTCGCGAATGGTCGCGAACTGCAGAGACATTCCGAAAATATTATTCTTGGAATAATACTGTGCTGGACGAATAAATTAATCACTTTTAGATTAGTTATGTCACAACGGAATAGGGTTATCAAGAAAGTGATACAGTATTGCTTGAAATACGCTCCCGAATACTCCCGAAGAATAATGTTAGTAATGCTACCACATAATATTACACCATGGTTATAAAATTATTGTCCGGACATGATAGTTTTATCACGAAGGAAGTAATTTTTACACCTACATGAGAATAGTTTTATTCTGTCGCGTCAATTTATCAGCCGTAATGGAGTATAAAAATTACCCTAATTACTCCACAGCGGTTTATTTTTATGCAGTTTTGATAAAAGTACTCTAGCTGTCAATTTTATTACCATCTAATGGGAGTTCAGCACAAATATATTCCAATGACCTTGTTTATCACTGTGAAATAAGCTAAAATTACCCCATGCCTCTTTGAGACTGATATAAATTTATAACCCGAAAGAATAAAAAGGACACGTGATAAAATTAGAAGATAAAACTAGCACTTGCTAAAACACAAAAGAGATGATTATAGTACCAGGTTTAAGAATAACTTTCAAAAACGCCCTTAATGCAATGCAGAGAGTAAGAATACGCTACAAAACATAATCATTATATGCCATTGGTGCGTGATTATTCGCCAAACTGGAGTGGAAAAACTCCAAAAATAACTCTCTAGGTGTAAGTTTTTTTCAGTGTAGAGCGCTGGCATGACGAAGGTTCTGTCGGCGGCGGCATGACAGCCGGGGTGGCTGGGTAGATGATAGGAGTGCTTGTGGTAACGGCGGGATGGTGGTATGTGACAGAGGGGGTGGGCCTGGCGATTGCCGTGGTAGGTGTGCCCGGTGCCGTTGGCGGCGCGGCGGCGCGGCAGCGGTTAAGACGTACGGGGTGGTCCGGGCGGCGGCCGGGATGGGTAGAACTGGAGTGTCAGCATGGCGACGGTATGTGGGAGGCGTGTCGGTCCGGGCGCTTGGGCTAGACATGATCGTGAACGGTCGGAAGCAGCGTGATAGCAGTACCTACATATATGGCGGACGGACACTCAGTGCGTTAGACATGACAGAAGTGTCAGCGGCGGCGTGGCAGTTGTTCGTGACAGGCGGATAGCCTGTGCGGCGGGGATGATAGATGATTGTCCGCAGCGGCGTGACAGTGCCAGGTTGTCGGCAGCGGCGTGACGGCATCGGCGTGGTAGCGGTATGTGACGGATAGGCAGCTCGTGCGATGAACCTGACAGGTCGGCCGGTGGTGGTGGCTTGACAGCAGCATGTGACAGACGCGGTGGCCGTGTAACGGGCATGACCGGCAGCAGCGTGACGGCTCGTGACGTAGCGGTGTAGGGCAACAAAGGCGCGATGCGCAGGCGCGCAGCCCCCTGTGCTGAAGATACATTGCCTAACGCAGCGCAAAGGTCCGGCGCCACCTGGGATCGAACCGGGACACCCTGGCGATAGTCCTAACGGCACACAAACGGATCCGTCACGCTAACCACCACACAACTATGGACGCAGCGTTCTGCGACAGATGAGCGCAAAACAACGAGCGCTGGTGAGGAGGGCGGCGCTAAGCAAACAGACTTACGGCTGGGGGCCACCGGCCCGATACTGATAGGGTGACCAGGGGCCGGTCGCGGCGGTGAGCGCGGCGAGACAAGTGCACCAGCTAAGGGGGGACGCCAGTAAACAAACGTGCGGCTGGCGCGGCGGTGGCCGGAGACAGCCCGGTCCCGGTCCAGAGAGGTGCCGCAGTGACTGGCAGGGTGACCAGGGGGATGGGTAGACGGCTCTGACGTCATGGCTGCGTCATGACGTCATGGTGGACGGTCCGCTATGGCCAGTCCGACCGGCCACAGCGGTCGCTGCTGTGCGGTGACGGAAGGCTGACGTGGGGACGCAGTGGGCGGAGCTTGGAGGCTGTGTACGGTCCGACCGCACACAGGGCCCGTGAACAGCCCTCAGGCTTAGGTGGAAAATGGCAAACGGGAGAGACGGCCGGCGGTGATAGCGGTGGTGAAGAGCGCGGCGGGCATGACAGTTTGGTATGACATGAAAGATCAGCTGATCTCGGAAATGTCATAGCTAGTTAGTGTTGTTGTTATAGCGAGTTGTTTTGTCGTCAGTGTAAGAGAGGGACGCGAGTATATGAGCAGGGCAAGCGCGATAGAATGGGCACCGGTGGGAAAGGCAGCGCTAAGCAAACAGACGGGCGGCTAGGGGCCGCGGGCGGCGGCCCGGGATGGGAGGGTGGCCAGGCCGGGGTGCGCGCGGCGGGCGGGGCTGGCGGGAGGGAGGTGCCGCCGGGAGACAAAGGCACGGCCGGCGGCCTCAGGCGGTGGCAGGTGACAGTCCGGCTCAGAGAGACAGCGCGGCGGCCGGCGGGGTGGCCGAGCGGCGGTCGGCGGGGCGGCTGGGCGGCGGGCGGCCGGGCGGCCGGGCGGCGGCCGGCGGGGGGGGGGAGGGGTTGCCGCGGCGGCGGTCGGCCGGGCGGGGGGGGGGAGGGGTTACCGGGTGGCGGCCGGCGCACACTGGTCGGAAACGCCCTCACGAGAGGCCACGGGCGATTCCGGAGTTTCGGATTATTTTTTACATAGATCGATTTGAAATTGATCAAATTATTATACTTAGGCCAAAAAAACTAATCTGGGTGACCAAAAATAACTGTAATCAGCCCCCGAAGATGGGGTATCCCAGAACTCGGAAACTGACGCGGAGCAAGAGGTTTCTTGAGCCGGATATTCAGAGTCTTATTGCTGATAGACACCAAATTGAAATCCCACCTATTATGCATCAAAATGTTTGTTATGAAGTTGCCGACTGGTCAGTGCAAAATTTTTGGTATACTTTTCCCCTAACTAAGATTTACTGTAGCTTTTTTATGAAGGCTCTCCTACAGTGATTTTGGAATATAACTGCAAAGTTTAGGTAAGGAAACAACAGGTAGTCCCATCTAGTTCCACTCTGATTTTTTGTGAGATGAAGCAGGATTTAAATTTACACCAGGGCAACATAAAAGCTAACTGCGCATATTTGCGCAAAATTTGCAGGAGCCGCTCTTCCTACCCAAGTACCGCCCGCCCCGCCCCAGTTTCGGCTCGGCCGCCGCGCCCGGCTTACGCTGACCTGTGTGGCCTGCACGCATCCATGCGTAGTTGACTGGTCATTAAAAACAGATGCGCTTGAGTTTATGAATTTTGTGAAAAGCGCGTTTTATGTATGCATTTATGTATGCATTGACATCAAAAGCCTTCCACATGTTGCGTGGCGATTTCGGCTTGCATTTAAAGAGCCTTGCTATTGACAGCCATCACTCCGGCTGAAGAAATTGGAAATTGAAACCTTCGTGAATATAAGACGCTGCAAATATAGGACACCTGTCACTGACGTCGGGTTACCTTGGGCCGTCTTTTTACATTAGATCACAATTCCGGTATTTAACCCTGGCCGGACCGATTGGTTTTCTATATTGACCGGGGAGGGTTGGTACAACTTCCTCGCCGTTTCGCCTCTAATTGAGCTAGAGCCTCGCGGAAAAAACGAGCTTGTGTGCCGTTATAAGACGCAACAATTAGGTACTACCCGATTTTAAGGTCTTAGGTCAGCCAGTGGCCTCTTAGGTCAGGTAAGTGCCACAAGGGACGGGCTCAGTTTTAGGTTAATTACTTTGCCAAAAATGGTCGCACTGCCGCGATTTTGGCATCATCGTGTTTGTCTAGCTCAGGCGCGTTGAATGCTATACTTGGTGATCGGGTGAAGTCAACTTAAGGTGTTAACCTCGGGTCAAGGTCAGGTCGGAGCCCCTCAGGTCATGAAAATGGTTGAAGGAGGTCATATCGCATATCATTCGATTCGGCAGGTCTTCCTGAGTCCAATGGTGGCTTTCCCGACTCTCTAGCTCCATCTGATCAGGAGTTATTGACGAAAAACTTATATGGCCTTAGTGACGTCATAAATGACGTCACGAAAAGTCAACAATGCTTAAGTGAAGCACTGGACCTTGCAAGGAGTGCATGAAACCATTCCCGGTGCCCGAATAGCAGCTCCCAATTTCCCTTGTTGACTTAAAGTGGTGCAAGATCCTGTATTATACTCAATTATGACGTCATAACTTAACAGATTCACGTCATATATTTAGTGCTTGACATCCAAATGATAGCTTACATATGACAGAGAAGGTATGCAAAGTTTTATGAAGTTTGCTTCACTAGTTGTGGAATAACAAGCAAAAAACTTTTGCGGAAAGGCCGCTGGCCTCTCGCTGGAGCGTTTCCGACCAGTGTGCGGCGGGGCGACCAGGCGGCGGGCGGGTCGTGGCAAACGGCAGGACAGCCAGCGGAAGCGTCAGGTGTGACGGTGGGCTGTCGGCGGCGGCATGACAGCGGTGACGACGAACGTAGCGGGCGTGACGGTTGGGTGTGTCAGCGGCGGCGTGACATGTTGGGTGACGGGCGAGGCAGGGGCGGCGGCGGCAAGACCGAGGTCTGGCGTCGGCGTGACGGTGTAAATGACAGACGAACAGTCCGTGTGACAGAAGAGGTAGTCAGCAGCGGCTTGACCACGTATGACAGACGGGACGGGCCGTGCAACGGGCGAGATAGTTGATTGTCAGCGGCGGCGTGACAGCGTATAAGACGGCACAGTCCAGGCGACTGACGATAGAAGCCATGCTAGCGGCGGCGTGACGGCCTAATAGCCGACGGGAAATCTCACCGGCGACGGGTGAGATGGGCGTTATAGTAGGGCAGGGCGTACTGGCCGTCCGAGAAACTATCATGACATAAGCATGGGATGTCAGCTGCGGCGTGACGGCGCGGGACGTGTCGGCGGTAAGACAAGCAAAGGAGCAGTAATCGCCACGTGATCGCCACGGCAGTAATCGACACACGAGTGGAACGTGGACCACTCTGAAATGTTCAACACAACAATACGAGGGGGCGGTAGGTACGCCGGCACGGAGCGCCCGCGGGC